TCTACTGCACCTTTTAATGACAGTGACAAGTCTATACATGCTCATTTTCAACTTATCACCTGAGAAAGTCCTACTGAAAAGATTTTGATTGGTGTTTAGAGGACAGTGATAATACTTGCCTTGGGCCTAAAGTTTGTTGTGGGGCCAACATACTCATGCTGAGCTTTGGGTGTGCCCCAGGGGTGGTGCAGCTTGAAGCACTCATTACAATAGCTAGCCTTACAGTCCATGCAGCTCTTAGTAGCCTCCTGCTGCGGAGGCTTACATATGCTACACATGATGGCGACGGCCGCTCGGGCAGCCTGGCGGTAGCGCTCGACGATGCTCTCCAGTGTGAAGTTTCGGAACAACATACTGATGCCACGCTCGCCGAGGTCGATGTCATGCTGGCAGCCTGGGCATGGGATGGTGGTGACCCGGGGAGTCACAGACCCTCTGCGCCACCCTGGGGAAGAGATTGAGCCTGGAGGGGAGCGGAAGAGGACACGTTAGAAAATCCTGTGTAATATAGATTCATAGCCACCCAGTTTATAATTTCATCTGAGGCTCTATTTGGACACGTGAACAGTGTTCTTTGACTTCAAATTACACTAAAGGAATCATTTCCATGAAAGTCAAATACAGGCTTTGAAAGATAGAAACTCCCATTTCTGTTCAGATTCTGGGCCGAGTTTCACAAATGCAGCATTAATTCAGTGACACCAACTTGCCAAGTATGAACCTGATGCAAACCTTTGATAACCTACATGGAAACATCAAGTCCTCACAAATAGGGCCTCAGCATGTCTCCCTTTGTGGTTTACTTCCACCGTGACACATACTTGAAAATGTGAAGGAAAACACCAATACAAAAAGGAACACATCAGGCATTTGTCACAAATGGAAAAAAAGGTCCAAGAAGAGAGACAAGAGTCCTGGGGCAGGCAGAGGAGGGATGAGACACTGAAGAGTCATGGGAAGGAGAGCATCCTTGGAACTTTGAGAATATATGTTTGTATGAGGCATTCATTACACTGCAAATGATTTAATGTTTACCACAGGAGTGAAGGCTAAGTGTTTACAATGATCTGGACAAAGAAAAATCATTCTAAAATGAGTGATCAAGGAAAACAAAAAAGACAAAAGCCATAGCACTTTTAAAAATCAAGCAACGTAAATGAATGACATCTTAGCTAAAGTTTCAAAGTTCAAGCACGTCCAGTTCAATGCATCACTTATTTTCACATAACAAAACCCCTTTAAAGCAAAACTGCTTTCAGGGGTTTCTCACAGTACAGCGCTTGTTACTGATGCCACAGCATCATAACAAGGCAGCAACACAGAGGCAAGCGGGTTCTGTGGGACACTGTTACCACACATTTAAAAGCCAGCAAACTAAATTCAACACACAAAATTTAAATATTGCTTCACGTTTTTGGGGAACAGGGGAAGCAAGGAGTGCTCGATTTATCTCAGTTTGTGAGCCAGCATTTCCATTCCGTTTCCAAGAACCTGAAAATTAAATCAAACACTCCTCAGGAAAGCAAAATATGGGAACACAAGTTCAAAACAGCACTTTGCAAAAGGGTGCAACTGAGGGGAAAGGCAGTGGCAGGAAAAACATGTATATGCTGTGTGATATACATAGCCATGCTGTGTGACCGAGGATGTGAGCAGAACTGAAGACTGACAGTGCCGAGTCTAAATCTCACTCATTTGACAAGCTGAGCTACAGCACACCTTTTACCCGTTGCTACCAGAATCCTCAAGATAAAGGTGAAGTTATGTTCAAGTGAAACATTTATATAAAAATCTGATGGCGATGAAGGTGAAATAGTCTTGCAATGACACGCGAGGTCATAACAAGGGCTTCAGGTTTAAGCCAATTAATGAAGCTCAGGGCCAGTTTCAAACCCAGCAAACAGGAAAGGTATGAATGAATATTAACTTATGAGCATGTCAGGTAGGAACCCTGCACAGTGACTCGGGTTATCTGGTCAGGAATGCAGGTGTGAGCAGATGAGAAGAACACAGCCTGAGCCTGCCAAGTCTAGAAGGGTCTATTTGTGGCGCTGCAGAGAAACTGACGAGTCACTGCAGCGTAAAAGGGGCTTGGTCTGTTTACCTTTAGTCATAGTCGAACTGATGCAGCATTTTTACATTTCAGACAGTCATGACAAAGCTGTAAAGTAAAGGCAATATTTAAGCTTTAATTCATATTTTTAAAAATCCTATGATCGTTTATTTAGGCTATTTTAGTATGCAATTATTTATTCTGACATTTTGATCCATCACTTGCTGCCTGAAAGGGATTTCTGTCACCTGTATTAAGTAAATAAAGGGAAAATCCTGAAAGTGTTTCCTCCTTTCTTATGCAAATAAGAAATCTGAATCCAATGTTAATCCATCGTTTTTGAAGCTTTTGGGGAGGGGGAGGGGGGGGGGGCCATTTATTTACAAACAGGATTTTCTTAAACATGCACCGAGTTTGTCAAATAACCATTAGTTGGTCTAGTCATGCCAACACAAGTGTTTTACTTGGCCAGTAACCTGACACTTCACATCCTCCTCAAAATGATTAGAGGTAGGCTGAAACAGGCCCACTCTCATAAAGTGTATCCCAAACATGAATGATACCCTGAAGGTGTGCCGTATCAGTCAGAATCCTAACAAGCCCAAACATATTGTATGTTTTCTCTCTGGGTGCGTGTATACAATTCAGAAACTGAGACCTACACTTTCTCCACAATTTTAGGTTTAATCAGTGTGTGCACTTGTATGGTTGTGCCAACAGGACTGAAGTAGACTAAATAGGAGGGAAAAAAGGGTTTCTAGTAACACTGTACTCACTAATACAGCTACTCAAAACACGGAGCCCGCGTCTACCTCGACTTCCCAACGACCTTCGCATTGTGGCTGCAAGCAATGAACAGAGAGGTGAAGTGAGACCAAAAAAAAAAAAAAACCACAATTTTAGGTTTAATCAGTGTGTGCACTTGTATGGTTGTGCCAACAGGACTGAAGTAGACTAAATAGGAGGGAAAAAAGGGTTTCTAGTAACACTGTACTCACTAATACAGCTACTCAAAACACGGAGCCCGCGTCTACCTCGACTTCCCAACGACCTTCGCATTGTGGCTGCAAGCAATGAACAGAGAGGTGAAGTGAGACCAACAAGAAAAAAAAAAAAAAAAAAAAAAAAAAAAAAAAAAAAAAGAAACGGTACATAATGAGAAGAGACAAGTGAAGCCACTTTATTTAAAACAAACAAACAAAACAAAAACCACACATGATATTGGAGAAAAATCCAACGTAAATGTAAAGTGAAGGACAAATTGTTACTGAAGTATTTCAAAACATACCAACAGGAAGTGAACAGTTATTGAAATACAGTCAACTCTTGACTTGTGCACTTTAAGCATATAATGGAGCATAAACCTGCACAACTTGAACTACTTTTCAGAACTAGACAAGCCAATGACTTGTCAGACATCCAGACTCTGGTCTACAACTTGCATTAAAAGAAACAGTTTGACACTTTAGGCAATCTGCTCATTATTCAGACAGTTCCCTTATTCTGTACATTATAAATGTTTGTCATCTGTCTGATGGTTAAGTGAGAAGGAAACCTCTCAGGTTTGTGTGCTCAATATGAAACTAGCACAAGGAGACCGCTAGCTGAGCTCGATCAGCATTACGACTGGAAAGGGAGGGTGAAGGTTAGCCTGGCTGCGGCCAAAATAAATAAATCCTCCTCCTGCTACCATAGCTACAGTGCAACCAGCCTTTTTGCACAGATTAAACAAACTAGACACATTTGTATTAATACACCATTCACTGAAACTGAGCATGTAGTTTTAGCCCCCGTCTTATATAGCCATCAAGTGCATATAGGACACTAGAACTAGGTTTCTGTTTTAAATAGTCGTATGGAAATCTAGCTCGACAGGCATAGCAAGGGTAATTAAGGGAGGCTTCCAGTCCACAGGCTAAGTTAACAGTCCCCTGGCTATAGTGTCACAATTACAAAAAAATACACACATTTCCCCAATGTGTCAGTTACTTTAAAGATGTTTTAATGCCCTTAAGTGCACTTGTCAAAAGTCAACTCTGAACATAAATGCTACATTTGAGCCCCAGTAACAAAGACAAAGTGAGAAACGATGCAGATGAAGTTTAAGTAACTGCGTTCCTCTGGCCAAGCTGCACACTGATAAATAAAGCCTCAAGTCTTTTCTCTCTTCACCTAATCCCTCATTCATTCCCTACTGGCACATTGCATCACTATGACGACCGACGATCTGGCCTCCCAGCGTTGAACACTGTCTGCAGAATTACTTGGTCGTTCTGTTTTTGGAGGTATGTACTCATTACGTCTTTCAAGGGTTCTT